CGTGTGCTCTTCCGATCTGGGGGCTCTCTCTTCCCGTCTCTCTTTCCTCTCACTCAGCATTTTTCTCGTAAAACCATACGGCCCGCAAGGCCGAGAGCCTCTTGGAAATTTAAATAAACGGAAAAGCCTCGCCTCGCTAACGCAAAGTTTAAGGAATTTTAATAAAACGCCGGCCCCGGAGTTACCCATATACGACTTAAGGAGTACGCTCTAAAAAAGTGTAGCGTCGCGCGATCGTAATATCTTTGACAAATATTTATCCGTCCCACGTGATGGCGGTGGTGGTCCACGGTAAAATACACGCGTCGCGCGATAGAGTGAAAAGGGAAGCATATTTTACGAGAGACGTCGCGGCAGCGACGGTGTCGGACCTGTAATTTCTCGTTCCAACGGGGCCATGCATTTTTTTTTCCATGCAGTTACATCTCTTCCGGTAAACAGACTAAATAAACTGCGGGGCTCGTCCGCCGACAATCGAGCGAGGCCGGTCCCCTGTACCTGTCTCGTTTCGTTCGAGAAATGTGTATCGGTGGAAGCGAATGTGAAACGCGCGCGAGAGAATCACCGCCTGTGTTTCACCGCCGGCGAAATAAAGACGATGTAAATCCATCGAGGTGAAACAAATCTAGATTAACGGAAACAACAACAGTTGCAAAATTTGCTTAATCCAGAAAGGCGAAAATATTTCATCTAGTCTCGGTATGCCAACCAGGCGAAACAAAATTCTAATTTCGGGTATTTTTCCCTTCGGATTTAAGGTTTTTCGGGATAATCTATTTGAACGAGATAATCTTGAAACACATAAGACGGGAGATGCGGAATATCTTTAAATAATCAAGCGAAATATTTTGCCCTCCGGGTAAATTTGCACTGTTCGAAGGCGGGGAGCCGGCATTTTCAGTACAAAATAGGCGAACACGTCGCAGTATCTCCGTTATAAATAACGCGAGCATAATACTCGAACTTCCCAGTTAATTAAGCGCTCCATTAATATGATATTACGCTGTAAACAAAGGCAATTTCCCGCGGAATCTGCGCGAAATGGTTCGAAATTTTATTGCTCCTCGTTCTCCGTAATCGCTTATAATCCGCAGGTATTTCTAACTATCGTTCGATGCGAACTTGTTAAGCTGTTAATTTGATGCATCGTCGTCGTCGGGCAGCGAGTATTTTTCACAGTGGTTTTATCGTGCAAGCTCCTGTTGCGAAACTTTTCTGCGCGTTTAAAAACGGATAATATCCGTAATAGTAGAGATACGAAATGGAGAGAGAGAGAGAGAGAGAGAGAGAGAGAGGGGAGAGGGAGGGAGAACGCTCGCAATAACAATAGAAATCATCATCTATTCACGTCAATTTCGATGAATCGGATTAATACTCCGTTTGATTGACGGCTTCATTATCTTCCGCGGTAATTGCTGCTATACAGGTCGTCTTCGGCAAACTACGCTTACTCTTAACGATGCAGTAAGATGACGCGTTTTGGATATCACGAGCGAAAAGAGGGAAAGGCAGAGTTCTCTGCTGTTAAATTTTGTACGTTGAAGTTTTTAAACAGATTTTCAACATTTGTTCAAGTGCTAATTAGAATATAGATGTAAAGAATACCGTCGCCCATCGCGCGTATGTATCTGCGTTCGCCATATACCATATAAAATATACACACATATTCCCCAATGAACCTACCAATACTTTGGCGCAATTACTGTAATTGCCTTATATCGAAACGCTGCACGTTGGGTCGATCGAGTCGACAAGCATTCCAATTAAGCATTCCGCCGGCCGACGACGATTGCATATCCCAAATCTCCTATCGCCGTATTCTTGTACGAAGTGCAGTTTATTACTTTCAAAAAATTTTTCAAAAAATGGGAATCGCTAACTTGATACCCGATTGTAATCTTAATTAACCGGCGGGTTGCTGAGTGTTAGTCGTGAAACTATAGTACATTCAGCGGCGCTCGGGAAATAAAAAAAAAATGAAATTTGTGCACGCCAGAAAATCGATTTCAACCGCGGTAATAAAGAATTTAGTACGCGCATTTGTACTCTTAATTTTTGCCGTACTTTTTCACGCGGTTCTATGAGAATTCATAGTCACGCGAATTACGGGCCGTATCTCGATATTCGCCAGCGTAAAGCCAGTTCGCGATCCTAATAGAATCCAAATGCGCGATAATTCGAAGAGAATGCCGATAATATCCGACGATACTCGTCACTCTTTTCACTGCCGGAGGATATCTGCTTTTGACAGCTACACGGTGGTGGTCCACCCGTAAGAAGTGGAATTTTGCCAGCCGATTTCCGAGGATTGCCGCGCAAACGTCGAATTTCAGGGGCGAATCTATTGGAAAGAAAGGATCTCTTAAAAAATAATTTTACGCTATTATAGACAGGTCCTTTTTCAAAAAATAATTTAATGCAAAATAATTTTGTCCAAGAAGTATTCACAAAAGTGGGCGTCACGCGTTTCCTTCGACATCTCCCCGTCGAAAGATTTCCCGGAAATTTGATTCGCAAAACGCGCCGTTTTCGCCATCCGCTCCTGGCGAAACTTCTATTTCATTCTGCAGTCAATGGCAGCCGCGCCGCGACGCGACGCTGCGTCGGTCGTGCTCACAACGTGAACCCTCCCCTCGCGCGCGCGCGCGTCGTCCGCGGTTCCCTTTTTACCGCGGTGTCGCATTAAGCCCGCCTAATGTCACTCGAAGAAGCGCGACGGCGCGGGCGGAAAGGGAATGGAGAAAAGTGGCAAGTATAAAAAACGAGCGGACCCGATAGATCGATCCGGCGGAAATTTCTCAGGGGAACAACGCCCGCGAGCCGCGCGGTGCCGCAGGCCGTTCAAGCGCTATCCTACATCCATCACGCGGAATTTGCACATTGGCGCTGGACAACTAGATTTACTGGCGAAATACCAACCGGCGGGGGAGAGAGAGAGAGAGAGAGGGCGGCGGGCCGTCTCATCACGGAAGGAATCCCACGCAATTTATAAGGCGTATATAAATTGAAAATTATTAGAAAGAAATAATTTCATTGCAGCATAATACATACTTATATGAATATTTATATTGCCTCTTTCATACTAATGTAACTTACTCCTTAACGCGCGCTCTCGTCGAAGCTCGAATGTTACGATCAACCTAGGAAAAAAGATCATCACAGATTAAATTTCTGAGGTAAAAGCGTACCTTCGTTCTCTCAATTAAAGCGGAAAAATATAGCCGCGTCACAATGATCAACAATATCGGTAAAGTGTTAAAGCACAACGGACCCGATAGACGTTCATATATTTCGCGCGTTGAATTGCAATGTAAATAATTAATCGTCACTATTTATCAACGCGGTAATGCATAGTGGACGCATAAATTCGTAACGTATTATTAATCTCTTACGCGATGAAAATTTGTGCTTTTACGAGAGCGATCGATACGAGAGGAAGAGAGCAGCGCGGACGCGCGTTTTATCAATCCCGCGAAATTAACAATTTAATTTTGTGACACGTATCCGTATTTCCGCCTGGGAAATTAATATACACGTCCGGGGATCGATTTTCCCGCGAGAATGCGGGTCCGATAAGATCCGACACCTTTTCCGCGCCGATTCCGTCAGAGGCTCTTTTCGAGGCTGCCCATATCAATCTCCGCCCGGCGTTTTTCAGTTGTATGCGAGCTCACGCCCGCGGATTTTCTCGGGGTCCGCGCTTACTGCGCTTCTTGCATGCAGAAGGGGGGAATAGATTGACTGAAATTGACACCTACACTCCCGCCCGTCAATGCGAATTGACGACGACCGAATTGGATAATCGGTGGAAACGCCAGCGATCCCGCCGCAGCGATGTGAACATATCGCTGGCACGTCCTCTCATCTTTATTCTCACATCATTGTCACTTTCGTCCCCGTTTCGTTTACCCCTAATTTCTCAATATAACCTATCTTTTATCGGATCTTTTAACCTACGGTACTCGATATCAGCGCGCGACGAGCTTTTTATTTCTTCGACAGTGTTCAGAACTGAGTCTTTTTCTTTCTCTCTTTTTTTTCTTTTCCTCAAAGTTCATACGTTCTATGGAAAACTTTTTGTCTCATCACGATGGCAGCAACGTAAAAATTTGCGGTAATTCATGAGATTATTTGTAACGTGTTCTGTTCGTCAAAAGTAAAAATATTATATCGGACAATTTTGCAGAAAAATCCACGTGGATTCGAGATGTCGCGGTCGGTAATATTCGTTAGAAATCCTTCACGAGCGCACCGCTATCTGGAATGGATGATGTATGATGTAATTAATGGTTATTTCGCGGCTAATTGCCCGAGCGATTATGACTTTTCCGCGTGTATATCGTCGCGGCGCTGCCACGGCGAACATGAGAAGGAAGTTTTAAATAGCACCGTCCTAAATAAATTGCTGACTAAGTTCGCTCATCGATATATTTTAATTCTTAATATACACCGACATAAATGTGTGAATTATGACATAAAATAGATTGAGTTTAATTAAATATAAATTATCATTTATATTTTATATTTACCAACGATTGCATATATATCAATAACGTAATATTATTCAGGGCTTCTTAAGAACCCATTAAATCGATCAAGAAATTGAAAAGCTAGCGAAAACATAATTTTGACCTATAGCTAAAAATGTACTGAACTCATTTAATTCTTCATAAGTCAATTATACATTAATAAAGAGGGCATTACCTTGTAATTTCTGTACAATCCCTCACGATATCTTTTTAAATGAAAATTTCAAGATCTAAAATATATTAATTGTAAAATATGTTCAATTTGATAAGATATAATATAATTCGTTTAGACTTGATATGTTTGAATAAGATTTTGCAAGTACGTTGATTTCTACCGTAAGAAATGCATTGCATACTAAATGACTACTTTTATTACAGGTGGATTCGATTCGTCTGAGGAGGAGGATTTCGACAGTGTGGGCTTCAACTTGGCTATGCCTAACTTCTTTTCTGGTATGTAATATTTACAATTATGTCAAAGTGAACCACAATTGTATATGATATAGCTTTGATTTCTCTAATGTATATGTTTGTTTTTTTTAATTGCATTACATATTCTCTCTTTTTCTCTCTCTTTTTCTTTCCTTTCTGCAAATTAAAACAAATAAATATATATATTTGAAATGTAAAAGAAAAAAAAGAAAAAGGGAGACAGAAAGAGAGGAGAAATAATTGCAATAAAATAGAAAGAGCGTTATAATCGGCAAAAGGAAAGAAATTTCGTGTCACCTGATATTGTTTCATATTATATCAACTAATTTTTATTAATAAATTGCACAAATTCGTGCACATTTTTATCGTATGTTTCACACTGGATATGGTCGCGATGAAATTTCAATTTTATTAATTCGATGTAAAATGCTATATTTAATGGAAATACGAAATGAATGTGTTGTGGTATTTTTGATGTTGAATACGCGCTGAAGATACGGAGTTTATGGACGGCCCGGTTCGCGTTAAATCAGACGCTAAATACAGGCGCGAACGCAACCCGTTATTTTCATTAGCGCCTCCACACTTCTGCGCTCTCCGGCACAGAGATTCGCAAACGCCGGTACACACGCGAGAGTGCGAAATTTGTGTGCCTCTGACAGGTGGATCATAGAGGTGTGCGCAAATATCGCGCGCACGCATCGTACGGGCGGCCGGAAATGTAACGTGCATCCACGATTGCATCGCGCGCGTCAGCCTCACATCCCGCTTACATACGGTTTGTCTGAGCGTAACTTCCGTCAGTCTGCGCCTACAGGGACATTTGGTATTGTTTATGGTATACCAATTACCGCGTTTCAACATCGTTCGTATATAGCTATTGCTTTAGCGGTAACCACACGTACGGGCGGACTAATCGATAGCCGTTCGGTATCATTAAAAAACCGATTATTAGTGCAGCACTTTATTATTTTATGCATCGCGCGCATATACACGAATATCTTTCGCAATAATAGTTCGTTGCATTAATCGAAGGTTCGCTCTCGCCACACGTTTATTTGAGCAACGTGTATTTAATGCATTGGGGTTATAAACGAAGTTAAAAGCTAAAATCAGCTCGCAAATAAAATTTTTATCTTTACAAAATTTCACATTCGAATGCAATTCAAAATTTATACAGACCTGTTAGAAGAAAAATATTATCTCTTTAGAGAAGAAAGCGAGCTTGAACTTTTTAAGTTCTAAGAAACAGGTTGTTCGAATGAGAGAGGTAAGGATTTTTTATCGAGCAAGACATGTGGTACCTGTAAAACGCAAAATATGTAATCTTCTTTCCCAACACAGGTAATAACAATTGGAATTTCAAATGCCGGCGTTATCGGTGCATTAAGTCAGCATGCGCGTATTCTGCAGATTATCGCGCGGCTTTACGGAAGGCAACTTCCGCTCTTCCGCGTTCTAGGATGATCAACAATCTACCTGCCGTAAACCAGTTCGACTGGGAGATATGTCGGTCATACGTGTACACGGCTTGCGCGCGTGTGTATATGCGACCGCGGTAATAATGTCTCGCGGGTAATGAGTCGCTTATTTGTGTGTGGGCGCGTATGGTACACACGTATATACATATACGCGAGAGCCGGCCCGTCACTCTCATTGCGCAACAATTCCAAGCTCCGGATCTGTGTATCGCGTAACGATACCGCGCCCGTAGGTCATACCTTCAGTTCGATCAATGCGTTGCTATTTGGCCATCATCGATGATCGCATTTAAGGGAATCCGCATGCGGAATTGGACCCGCATTAATGTGATTTGCTGATCGCGCTATCAGCGCCGGACTTTTGTTCCGGAGAATGTACGTCGCGCGATAGCCGGCGGCGCAAAATCGAAATTCTGAAAAAATTTAAATTGACGTCTCCTCAAAAGGGCGGAATATAATCGTCGGGAAAGAATAAAAATATCCCGCTGTAGAATGTATTTAAGAATAAAATTTGGAATGTAAATACTCCCGTACGAGTATGTGGCTTGTCAAAATCAGAGAAGAAGGAAATCTTTCTGATTGGAATCTAGGAAGGAAAACTAACACACAGCAAGGTTCGCCTCGCTTCCTCCTACTTCCTCTTCCGGAAGAGTAAATATGGAATAGACAAATACAAATCGACGCTGATACGTATAACGTCTTCGTAGTATCCCCGCGGTTATGCTGCGAAGAAATTTGCAGAAGATGAACACGCGCACGCTGCGGATCGCGATCGTGCAATCGAATGCATCTGGAAAAACTTGTTTATCTTCGAACGTTTTTTTTTCCCCCCGATCGTACTCGGGAACTACTCGGTGTGTACAAACGGGAGTTAAACAAAACGACAGTGAAAAAGCCGTTCTCGTTGTATATTTTTGGTGCCTTTTTACTAACTAATATTTAACAAAATTCTCGTTAAATATTTTCATGCGTTTCGCGCACACAACGCGCGTTTTATAAATATTTATAGAGCCCAAACAATATGCATCAAACGTCGAATATGCATCCGAATAAGCAAAAAAATTTTTACATGGGGAACGGCGCCCTCTGAAAAAATTCACGCGATTCTCCCCCCGAAATGCAGAAGGCGATTTCGGGCGCAATTTCCTTAATGCACGTATAAGCGCTATCGCGGTTCTTATCGCGAGATATATAAGCTATACGGAGAGTAGCCTGTATAGTGTTACGTCTATCGCGCCGTTAATCGATATATGCAATTGCAGTATTACACCCCGGCGAGAGAAAGAATAACAGGTAGCCGTGGTATTCTAATGAAAGCAATTACCAGAAAATATTGTTCTAATTAGCCAAGTTGCGATTACTAAACGTTGCGTTACAAAAAGCTAGAGATTTTCCCTCAGGGCGCGCGAGGGGAAGAGTCGATCGATAATAAAACTCCGTAAATTCGGATTTTATAGAACGTAATGTAATATTGAACGCCGGTTTTTAGCGCTTGGAAATCCAGCGCGTTTAATATACCGACGGTATTAATTCATCTATGAAAAAATTTAACTAAAAATGCATAAAAATTAAGACGACTTCTTGCATAAGATAATCGTGTTAACTCTCGTCAGATACAGATCTTTCTCACGTTCGCTTATCCCAAAGTCTTCCCCGATATCATCGTGTATTATCATATTAGGTAAACGTGATCGCCAAATTTGATTTGACCGGCGACAACGTTGCATCGCAAATTCGTATCAGGAGAAATAACGTTTCGTGATAACGTTTTTCATCCGCGGGAGACGAGAGGCTCGGAGTCATTCCTTTATCTGTGTTGCGATCCCTGTGTATCATCAGCCGGCAGAGATTTGGCGCACGCGTCGCCGATGACAAATATCTTCGTGCGTGCATTATTTTTGCGCGGTCGTAAAAACACGCGGTACGAAGAAAGGTTGGCCGATCGATCGATCGATCGGCGTGATTAACGGTGTTATCGCGTGGAATTCGTAACAAGATCCCGAGATCCGAGCGGCGCGGCGTGCGGGAAGGTATAGGCAGCGGGCGAGACGGCACGTGCGTGTGCGGCGCGCCCCGAACAGAATAAAATCTGCTGCGGCGATGAAACGTCGCGTTTCATGGCCTTTCGAAGTAGCGCAACGGGTAAAGGTCGCGACGTTAAACGCTAAGCTCGCGATAATATGAAATAATGTAGACGCGAGAAATAATAGCTGCACGCTATAATAAATAATGTGCAACTCCCGCGGCAGCGTTTGTGTGCAAAAAACTGGCATCATTTTGAGAGGACAAATGCGCAGTTAAAAATTATATTAAATATAGATACATTTTGGCGTACAATAAATGAAACTGATATTAAACGCAATTGCGTTAAATTAAAAATACCTGTTTTTATTAAAATAAATTATTAATGCTAAAGGTAAAAGAAGATTATGAACTGGAAAATATGTTTTTATGCAGTTTATTTGTATCAAAATTTATATGAGAAAGAAATAAATCGCTGAATTTTTTTAACAGGTATATACGTATAAATTGTACGTGCGGAAAGTATGGATAAAGCGCCCGGAGAATTGATAGTTCCATAGTTTAATGTCATTACGAGTTTTTCCTGAGCGCTGATCCCTTTTGCAGACCGCTCGTCCTTTCCAATAAAGAAAGCTCTCCTCTATCCTGAAATTTCGCTTGATATCGCGCGCGGCGTGATTAAAGCGCGACCGAAAATTAAATTTTTTTAAGAGAAAATTAACAGGTCGCGCAAGAGAATTAATTGGCGCGACTACTCGCGACCTCTGCTATTTTCAAAGAGTACGTCGCTCTCTCGCACGGCATATTTTGCCAGGGTGGCAAGGGATGGACGCGCGCCATATACACCGCCGCAACCGTGCATATACTGCAAATTAATAAATTAATGAATTGATAAATTAATAGATAAATTTGGCGATAACTCTGCGCAGAGCAATTTATCGGTGAAATTTATTAAGAGGGAAGGCTTAATGAATTTTACGATGTATTTTTCGATATCCTATGAATATCGAAAAATATCGTAAATTATATCGATATTGAATTATTATTTTTACAGAGTTTCGTTTTGCGTTACAAATGCTGGATTATAAAGCGCTTTTCTTAAGCTATTTCTTATTAGAAATATATCTGCAGGGAAAATAAAAAGTATAAACAAGGTAAATATAAAAATAGATAGATAAGCATTAAAGAATGTCTAGATTCGTGATTTGCATCACTAAAGCTCAACTTCCGATCGACTTCCTGGACGAATCGCAAAGGCTTCGCGGACACGAGAAAGGAGATAAATTCGTGAGCCGCGTGCATAGCCGCATGCGATCCTTTACGTCCATCGCATATATCAAATCCCACAGGAGGTGGGCACTCGTGCAGAATGCGGTCCGCAACGAATAGTTTCAGTAGTATGCCTATTTGCAAGTCGCGACACGCTCAAGTCGCCGTGACGTCAGGCTCGAAGCTCGAAGCTTTGATTACATTACCGTGTGCGTCCGATCGACCGAAGCGGGAGCGGAGATTCGACCGGCGCGAGTCGGCGCGAGGCCGGCCACTCGTCGCCGCATAGAATCAGAAATGCGCCGACACGTTCGAGAGATTCGTGCGCTCCTTCCCGACGCGATCGCGGGATAAAGATAAAAAAAAAACAAGATGACGTGCGAGAAGGGGAGGAGGGAGAAAAAAATAAGTACTTCGTCGCACGACAGTTTTCGCAACGCGCGCGAATTGGAAGGTAGCGAAATATCGATCACGAAGCAAAGGTTGCCGCGGGATCGAGCGCGCGGCATCCAAGGTCGGCACACGCGAGAGAGCCGCAAAGTTTATCAGATCACTTTCACCATTGAGAGGATTTTAACGGTGCGCGCGTTTGCCAAAAGCAAACTGGGAATGATGACGATAATCGGTCCCGATCCGCCGCCGCTGCACCGCCGCCATGCTGCCGCCGGTATAATTCGTAATCCCGGGGACTGAAAGCAACCACCGGCACACCGAATGGGACGGCAATTTACGGTATAATCGTTGATTGCGCGACTCGATGAATCGTTATTCAAATCCGCGTGACGCGCGGCACCGTGGGAGGCCGGCGCGCGGGATGGAAACGGGCCCGGGGGACCGGGAGGGCGAGCGGGGGTGCCCTACGGATGCCAATTTCCCAATCATTTTACATGCTGTTTATTATTTTAGCGTCACGAATAATTTGGAATTTAATATACGAATGGCAGTCGTCATCAAGTGCGATATACCTCCAATTCTGCGCGAAAGGAGAAACGAGATGCATGACTTTAACAAATTGGAAAATACTTCTGGAAAATATTACCGCGAGTATCTCTCGAGAATTAGCTAATTTCCACGTGGATCTTTCTTATATACACGCGCCTCTATTCACTTATATTTTTATTCTCAAGTTAATTCGTAGCCAATAATTCCGCGAGGTAATTTCCATACGCGTTTAGCATGATTATGCTAAAATATAACCGTGAAATGGATTATATTCATGCTAAACATATGCGTAATATGTCCCACCTAATTTTGAGGCCAGTGGTTGGCCTTCCCCTGAACTTTCGATACCAGTTCCGCGAGCTCGTATTTTTCCAACTCGGAACTCCATAAGATATTCATGTTGCCATCGTCGAAAACTGTTAATTATTAGTTTCGCTTGCACTTTGTCAATAAAGGCGTCGTCATCGTATCTAATTTCATAGAAGATAAATCAGAATTAGCGTAATTAAAGCTTGCAGCACGTCACAAGGCGCGGGTGACACGAACGATAAAATCGTTCCGTACACGAGATTTAAATCACCATTGAAAGATACGATCGCGGTGTAATTATTTTGCGCAAAAAATCGACGGCGCGTATACATTTAACTTCAAATTCGCTCATTTATATTATTATTATCGTAGATATAACGTTAAACCGGCACTTTAAATCTCGTCCCGATGAAAATATCGCCGAAATTTGCATTTTTAAATATTTTTACTCTCTAAATCACTTAACGATTTCGCGAGTCGCGTAATAAAACTTGTTACTTGTTGCTCGCTAAACTCGAAATCGATACTATAACGTATTTCCTTTCGTTGATTTAGCCGTATTTGATAAATCGCCCCGCTTCGTATTCGGCCCGCGTCGAATTTCGAAATAAATGAAAATTACGGACGTAAGCCATTTTTAACAATAACAGGCCGTTTTGCCAGCTAATTAAAATTATCGCGCGCAAAGAGCCGGTAACGCGTCGATTTCGGCAGCATATCCGATGCCGTTTCCTCTCCCGCTCTCCGGCCTCTCCCTCGCCCGCCCGCGTACAGCGAATTTTTCTATATATAATATGCAAACGAAGCCACTGTCGAATAATATGCTGGCCCGGCGCGTTCCTCATTGACATTCCACACAGCAATAATCAGCCGATACAGTCGACTATTTTTGCTCGGGCAGTCGCATTGTAAGCGCAATAAAGTATGCAAAATTTATCGCCACGGTCGGCATCCTCTCCAACGTTTTCTCGCGTAGGTATACGCGCTATCCGATCGCAGCATAAATTATTATTACATTTTACAAACTACTGGGTCGCGGGATCAACTGCCATTTTATTTATAACACGTAACGGCGACGTCTTATCGCGAAACTTGCGGGAATTGCATAATGACATGCGAGTCCGTAGACATGTAAATATTTTCGCGTATAAATATTTATTCAAAGAGATTCGAAGTTTCCTTGCGGGAAGGCTGAGATGATTGCAAGACAAAAGAGAAAAGAATAGACAGGGTCGATATTGAAAAAAAAAATACAAAGAATTTGTTAACAATCTCTAATAACGCGATTAAATTCCGTTCGACTGCATCGCTATTTAAATTACGGTAATGATTACATAGTAATTATTGATCGTTCGGGGGAATAATTTTACATTATAGGGGAGAGTAAAAGAGGGAGATAAAGAGCGCAAACGCGCCGTTAAATAGACTCGATTATTATCGATTATTACATTCGTTTACCGCCGAAACGCAGCCGACTCTTCGAATGTGTGTACACAGTTCTTTTCGCGAGAACTTGCCGAAAAAGGGATGACACGCGGACGTGTTACTGCTCCCATTTGTTGTTTGTGATGCGACCATTCGGCCCTTGACTTGTCGCGCTGGTGTGCACACGACCTGATTCACGCCGAATCGCAATAAAGCCGCTATTGGATCGTCAAAATGAAACGAAAGGGTCACCGGGCGGAGACAACGGTAGAACGCAGTTGCTAAATGTGCAAAAATTGCCACGCCAATGCGATCTTGGACACGGTTGCCACTGCAGCGCAATCTTTAACGCAGACACGCAGAAGTCGACGAACTTAAAAAAATTAAGCGGCGAAAGTTCGATAATATTTTAAAAACACGATACGATAGATTAAACATGAGGCAATAAAAAATACACGATACGAGAGATTAAAAATGGAGCAGTAGATATTGGATGAAAATTATGTGTGCGTCGATTAACGAGAGCTTCACTGCAAATTAGATAATGGCCGCGTGCAGCAAAAGTCAGCGTTTGAGCAAGCGCTCTGCGCCGATTAGATTATACTTGTAGATCCAGAGGAATAGTTCTATCTCGAGGAAACTTTCAAGTTGTAAGATAAACATTCTGTTGGACACTACTCATATGAGGGGAAATATATGTATAGTTTGTACAACTATATTTACATACTCGTACGTGTGTTCTTGCAAATTAAAAAAATTTTTTATCGGGTCATTTATAGATTTTCTCTTTTGTTCTTTAAATTGATTGTCGTTCGGCTCAATGGGTCCATCACTGTATGCTCGATTTCCTAAATCAAAAATCATGCAGGCGCAATTTTGTTGTCCGACGGTTACACGCGATTCTAATAAGCGCGTCACCCCCAGATGCTTGACAAATATTTTTTAAACAGTCACCGGCGCTTACACCTGCTTTAAATTCATTTAAATTCGTCCATTATCGAGCGCACTTTACCGGATCGTTGTTATTGACATTTACAAATAAAATCAAGCAGCCAATTTAAAAATTTTACAAAGGCATTACAAACGAACGTGTATATATATGACTGCGCGTATTGCTTATACACTTACAGGGGGACTCTCTATCTAATTTTCGCTCCTGTTTTTTATTTTTTTCAGATTCTTTTCGGGATACCATCAACGGGCTTAGGCAAAGACTCCTGAACTACTTCTGGAATATGCCCGACATTACGGACATCAAGATTCCCGATGGGGCGAACACGACATCCACAACTAAGGTAAAATACTCGGCAGACTCAATTTACAAATAAGAAATCGCTAATCCACGAATTAACGATTTCGCCGCCGCCGTTCGCCAGAGATCTATACGCTGTTGATCAAATCAACATGGATTATCGCGGATTGTGTTCTTAAACTAAAATGCCGATTTGGCGCGCGCCGCGTGCAGCTCTCGCGTCGGATCGAATTTCGAGCGGAGTAAAATCCCCGGCGACACGCGGAGAGGAAGCTCCGCGTCGCGTCGCGGACCGTCGCGGCCCGGACCGGACGCGTCGCGCGGGCGGGCGGATAATGCATCGCCAGCAATTTACGTACATACACGTGCAAACTACAGCAACGAGATAACGGCGGAGGGACCCAGGGGGGAGGGGAGGGGAACGGGAGGAAGGGAGGATCCCCTTAACAATGGTACGGTAGCGTCAAGTGTGCGGCAACGAGGAGGAGAGAGGGGGTGGGGAGGGGTGATCGGATTACCGCATTTCCCGTCGCGTATTGTTACACGCTCGGAATCTGCGCGCCGCCATATCTAGCTCCGATATTTAAGTCGCTTAACGCGTAATGCGACTTGCCGCACAAAGCGCGACTAACGGAAGCGGATAACTGCCCGCCGAAAAGTTCGCCCGCGCTGCTTCCGCGAATTCTGCAGTGCATCCTCGGACACCGGGCTGCCGCATCGCGTTCGTCGTTTCGCACGCGTACGCGGTCAGCGGGAGGAGAGAGGAGAGAAAGGGAGAAAAGGGGAGAGTGTTTAGTGTTTTCTGAGATGACACGGCGAGCGGGGAGAGATCTAGTTTTATTTTTATAAATTTTTCTCATTAACGTACGATTATTATCCGCCATAATCGAGATATTTATTTAATCGCGAGCTCTTCTCACGCTCTTAAAGAGCGTATCGAGGTTTATATCACAATCCCGCTTATGAATAATATTCCTCTCTAATGCCGTTCAAACGTCGAGGAATTAAACGTGCGCGCGCATCACGTGAAACGTCATAAGAACGCATTAAAAACGATGACATGTGAAATTGTAACGTGATGTAGCATTTTGTAAGGAAAATTGTACGGAGGACTTTCGTCATTGCGCTTTCACACGTAGAAAGGTGTAGAAAGTTCTAATTAAATAGAGCGATTCTGATAATTCATACTGATGAAGCACTCCGTGAATCTCCTTGTTTAGCAGAGCAAACCGCAAATCGTATCGGCACTGTCATGTATTAAACGCAGTTAAATCCACGCAGCGTTGCAAATTCTTCAATAATTGGAGCTTAATTAATTTTGACGATGCGTTTGTCAGTTTGTAGAGCTGCAAATTGTTCGATAAACCCGTTTGCGCCCCTGTCTATACCAGCTCTCGTTCCTTCGGGGACATGTGTAACGCACATGCTATCTTTCCGAAGAACTTCGTTATTACGAATCGAACTACATTTGGCGATTGAGGGAGGGAAAAATTGTTAAATTGGTTCCCAATTACCGAGAATCGTCCCACACGCGATTTCGTATCTCGATAAGAAATACCGCCGAAGACACTTATACGTATCACGGATTGTTCACGCGGCTTCTCTTTGTCTGATTGCAGATCATCAACGGCCACGTGGTGACGATCAACGAGACGACTTACACGAGCGGCGACGAGCTCGGCGGCACCGCATTCCGCATTCGTATAGTCGACGTGAAGCCGCTGAACGACACCGAGACGATCGAGGGAAATACCGGCGAGCCGGCGGTGAGGCCGGAGTCGCCGGAGAGCCGTGAGACGGTCGAGGATTTCAACAACGAGATTTCGAAGAACACGGAAACGCTGACCGCCTAACAGGCGGTCGGCCCGCTCCGCGAGACACGCCGGCGATCTTCGGCGGTGTCCGGGTGGATTTCCGGGTGGAGAGGAAGAAACGACCTTTATAACGTGGCTGTAGTAGAGTAACTTCGACGCCACACACCGCGGTGTGCGTCGCGTTAAAATATAAAGCATTACTGTAATATATACATATATATCTATAAAGTTGTGTTTCTGTTATTTCCTATCGCTTCTCGATAGTATATGTATACGTTTACCTGCGTCTCTCCGGGAAAGAAAGAGGAGATCGCCGTTGTCAAAAAGGATAAACTGGAACATTTGTAAATACATGAATAACACAAATAGAGAAGGTTAATTAGTTTCAGTTAATTGTGATAATTTGATTTTAATTAATTGATTGAAAGCTTTTAAGTCATTGCGAATCAGATTAAAATTCTCAGTTATACGTGAAATTAAAATAGATGAGATTTAAAGCTCAATGCGCATTTACATTTTTCAGCCGAATATTTTATTCTGAAAATAGTTGAATTTTATACGTATTGCGACATATACGCTTTATTAAAAGACACGTCCACCGGCGATTGATATGGAAATAAAATGTTGTTGTGTGTGATTTCTTGTATTTTTTTTTCAGATTAGTTACTTGGACCCCCTTCTAATTTATATCTAATATTCGTACACGTTAATATGTATATCCAACAACATTTCGAAATGGCGTTAAAGATTTTTATATATTTTGTAAATTAGCAGAAATAAACATAAAAGTGGTATGCGTGCGATAATTAACCCGTAATATTTAATATATGTCCAATTTATATATTTCCTGTATGTAATTCTCGCGTATCTCGTTCTGCCTTACATATATGAATGCCGCAGCAAAAAAGGTGAAAGCATCGATACTCGGAGCCACACAGCTTCGTGTATCATTCACATATCACGCCGGTTTACTGGCTAACACACAGTCGTATTTATATATACATAAATATGCAAGGCCATTTTGTAATAACTAATTATACCGCTCTATCGTCAAGCGGAATATCTGCGCCAGTCCAGTTTGTCACGTTTCACGCGACCAAATACGAATATGAATATATATATAAATTATTGCTGTATCGCATTAGCATCGCAGACAGCATGCGTGTTTGAAATCGGAACGTAAGACGAATCTTATGATGTAGTGTCTAAAAGGCGGGTTACGTCCCGATTTTGAAGTGCTGTCTGAGATAATGCTTTATACGCTCGTGAAACGACGCGAAAAAACTTCCTGTGAAAGATTGCACAAAGCTGATATTTAATAAATCTGTAATTTCGTATGCATATATTCAGATATCCCGTTCAGACAACCCGTTCTAATTCCCTTGACAATGGTATCTTTCAGCGCTGAAAAATGTTGAGTCGAATAAGGCATGTACAATTATGTGGTCAAGTGCCCACGCAAGTAAACAATTTACGAAGGAAATATTTAAAATATTCGTCCCATAGAACGTCGATTTTCTTTTATAATTTTATAGAAAGAAAAATGTACACGTTCCTATTATGCTGCTACTCTCGCATATTTCTATATACGTACAGATTGTATTTCATACAGATTATAAATCTGTAAGTTAACCAGAGAAAAGTTGATATAATAAAATAAAAATAATAGTATTATATTCGCACAACTGCTATATATGTAATATGTAATTCACGTAAGTTTACGATTTAAATATTTCCTTGATAATTTTGATTCCAGTATTTTAAAGGTCTTAAGATAAAGATCCAAATTAGATTTTTGAGTTAAGAATCGAAAATATTGAATTTAATAAATTACACAAACTTTCTCAAAGTTTTCTCTGTAAAATTATCAATTACTAAAATCAATTTTTAAAATCAATTGTAGTACACGCGCATATAACGTTGTTGTAAATAGTTTATAAAGTTTTTCGCTACTATCATAACATTTTGATTTTCTTGGCCATCCATTTTTTAAATAACAATGCAAATAAGTAAATAGCGCCTGAATAGCACAAAATAAAAACTATTGACGCTTTCAATCATCGGGCGGTGTTTTAGGTCTAATGATTACTTTTAAGAATTTCATCTTTTTATCTTTAAATTTATACGTTGATCACTATTCGATTTTTAAACCTAATTTTTTGTCAAAGCTGGAAATATAGTTTCATGTAATTAAATTAATATTACATTATTGCTGGCGATGCTAA